AGGGATTGCATCATGGCCATCCCCCCTGGGGGGGTGATTTCTTACTTTCTGTCTCTCTGTCTCTCTGTTGAGCACACATATAGCAAAAAATCTCTCTCTAAAAAAAAAAAAAAAAAAACCTGTGACACAGATCAAAAAATAATTTCCAAGCTATTAACCCTAATAGAAAACTAGCTGAGTTGGTGATTTTTAAAACAAATCCAGGACACTTTAGAAGACAGCAACATGGTTCGTCATGCCAGTTTGCGGCCCATCAGGACAGGAGAAGGGAGGCCTTGGTTGTCTCCTTGGTTGTCATTGTTTGGTAGCTGCATGTACCCAGTCAGCCTCCCCATCGGCTTCTTCCACTGCAAGGATATATTTTCCCTGTGGCTATTATTTTAGGAGGGCCATGTTTGCTATCTACCTTCTCAGTAACCAGTTTCATAAGTGTTCCCAGGGCTGGTGTGACATCATTAAGCAACCCAGGCAGGGCCTCTCAGAGCTAAAACACACTCAGGTAAGTTTATATATTTGCTTCTGATTGGGAACATTGTCTGTTCTACTTCTCTAGCCCAGGTCTGCAGTCCCTACTTTCTTTTAGGGGTTGTGCCTTTCTCATTACCTGATCAGGTTCTTAAAACTCTATCATAGGGCCAGCAGGTAGCATGGTGGTGAAGGGCTCTGGACTCCCACATGGCTGACTTCAGTTCAAGTCCTGGACCTGGTGGCTTTCTCTCTCTCTCTCTCTCTCTCTCTCTCTCCCTCTCTAGTCAAATTAAAATAAATAAATTTAAAGAAAAGAATTCTTAAAAAGAATTCTATTATAATCATGTTCAATGTGGCTGCACGGTAGAATGATCTAGGGGAGATCTGAACATTTCTGCTGGCTGGGCTGGATTCTAGAACATTCAAACGAGAATCTCTGGGGGCGGGGTAAGATCCAGGCAAAGAGACTTGATTTTGTTTTGTTTTGTTTTAGCTCTTCAGTGGTTCTTAGACACAACCAACGTTGAGAACAAATATTCTAACCCTTTGCTCCCCAAATACTTGAAAAACCAGCAGCAGCACCTCCCAGGTCCTTGTGGGAATGCAGCATCTCAGGCCCCATCTCAGACCCACTGAAGCAGGATCTAGTTGTTCACACAGTTGTCAGGGGACGTATTTACTCTAAGGTTTGAGAAGCTCTGCTTAGTTTAGACCCCCATTATGGGCTGCATTGTGGTTTTCCTTGGGTCCTTTTGTAATTTCTTGGTCTTAGCTGGTCTCCTGCATTTCTTCATAGCTTCCTCTTGGCTCTCTGCTTCTGGTCTACCACGTAGCTGGTTGGTCTCATGCAAATCTAAATATACACAGACAGTGGCACCTATTTTGACATGCAATGAACTGCACACATTTAAAGTGTATACTCTAATCAAGACAGTGAATGTATCACTCAGAATGAAAGTTTTCTTCCTCCTTCCTCTGATCCCTCTTTCCTGATCCTGCTCCTTCACCAGTCACTTGTACTAGAGAACCATTAACTGGCTTTCTGCCACTGTAAGCTGTCTAGAATTTTATTTTATTTTTTAAGTTTATTGATTTCTTCCATGAAAGGTAGAAATAGGTGCGCCCCCAACAGGATCCTCAGACCACAATCTACCCCAGCCTCAGTCCCCCATGATGATAGGCATGTGCATGTGTGCTTAAAATATATAGGGAGGTTTCCAGATGCAAACCTGGGCCTTCCCATGTGTCCTCAACATTGTTCAGTGTTGCACTGTCGGGACCAGCAGTTAGCGTAATGGCTATGTCGCTGGACTCCCACGTAGTTGACCACGGTTCAAGTTTCGGACCCGGTGGCTTAAACTCACGCCAGGTGTGTGTGTGTGTGCATCCCCAAGATCCCGAGAGGAGAATGGAGGAGAAGGGATTGCAGCATGGCCATCCCCCATGGGGGATGATTTCTCGCTTTCTGTCTCTCTGTCTCTCTCTCTCTGTCTTTCTGATGAGCACATGCTCCTTATAGCAAACAAACAAACAAACAAACAAAAAACCTCTCCCCCCCCCAAAAAAGTTGCATTTTCACTGCTGACCAGTCTAGAATTTTATATACATTTTTTATAAATTTTATATAAATCACACAAGATGTGCTTTTTTCAGAGGCCTAACTTCTTTCAGGCTGCATTGTTTTGAGATTCATTCATGTTGCTGTGAATATCAATAATTCATTTCTCCCAAAGTTGTTATATTTTTCCAGAAAATTCCGGAGTTATGTAACAAAGGTGTCCCATCACATAGTGTTACTTAAAATAGTAAAAAAAAAAAAAAGGGGGGGAATCCAAAATTTTTCACACAATAAAATAGATAATTATTAAAATATATTTTGGAGAGTTTTTAATGATACCAGAAACTGCAGCTGTAACAAAAACAAAAATGCACACGTGGAACACAAATCATACATAAAATATGTATGGTTATGTAAAAATATAAAGGAAAAAACCCTAAGGGTAATTTGGCCAAGATAATTGAAATACTCATCTGCCTTTATAATTACTGCATATTGCTTGGAATGAGTGAAAAAAGTGTACACTCAAATTCACATCAGTGAAGAGGGGGCAAGAAAGCATGTCATTAGTATGTCTAGAAGAATTTAGAAATTTCTAAAATAAAACAAAAACAAAGATAAGAAATGTCTGAGAAGAGGTATAGAAGACATCCAGAGTCCAGCATCTGCCCAAAGGGCATTTTATTACTTAAAAAAAAAAAAAAAAAAAAAGATAAAATGAAGATAAAATGAAGAATATTACCACATACATTTTTCCTTTGGAGAACATAAGGCATCTTTTTGAAAAACCATATTGTGTGCTTTGGAGATGTACAACCATTAAATGTGAAGAAGAAATTTTAAAAATGAAAAAAATTGTCAAAGAGTTAATAAGAGAAAAGAAAAAAAAAATCCCAAGGCTAAAAAAATGACTTACTAAATGTGGTAAACACACATGCCAATGAACAAAAACAAACAAACAAAACCCTTGGATGCAAATACTGTTTAAAAATCAAAATGTCAAAAACAGCTTAAACTTTGAAGGGCTTTAAACTCCATATTATCAATGAAATTGGAACTTTAACTACCAATTACAACCTGTTCTCTCTTCACAAATTGCTATTTTCCTACTTTAAAACTTGCTAAGAAGGTAGAGTTGATGTTAAGTGTTCCTATCACACAGAAAACGCAGAGAAGGAAGGAAGAAAATGTGGTATGTTTATGGGATGGATTGTCGTGATGGTTTCATGGGTGTATACTTACCTCCAGGCTCATCAAGTTATATTGACATTAAAAATGTACTGCTTTGCTATGTCAGTCATATCTCAATAATGTGGTTTAACTTTTTTGTTTTATCCACAATAAATGAATAAGCAAGTAAATATTAATAAATAAAAGTGTAATTTCTAGCCCTGTCTACCAAAAAAACCCATCTCCTCCACACCCCTTGAACCAAAGATACTGGGCTCCTTAAAAGAAATGACTCATTATAGTTCTGGGTCAGGAAATGCACAAGACCAGCCTGAAATATTTCTTCCTGCCAGAAAACAAGAAAATGATCAAAGATTCTAAAGGTCATGATGAAGGAATCAGGAGCCAGCTGAAAAGGAGTCTCACTTGAAGAAAATGGAAAAATTCAAAAAAAAAAAAATAGCCTCTGAGAAAGATGAGGACATATCACATATTTCAATATTTGTACGTTTATAATGATTTTGAAAATTCACAGGTCACCTTTGTTGAGTGCTTGGAATCAACTCAGTCATCTTAGAGGACTAAGGAAAGAAACAGTTATCTAGGCATGCTTACGAGCTCTACCTCAAGGTAAGAAAATAGTTGGTGGTAATGATGTAGAAAAATGGCGTAAGAAGGATGCATTCATTTTGCAATCCCTAGTGAAATGATAGATCTAGGATGAAATTATTGGTTAAAAGGGAAAATTCATAGTGGGTGGATGAGACTACTAAAGCCTGATCTCACGATAAATCTGAACATATGCATCTCCTGATAGGAGGAAGGTGCTGGGAAGCACGTGGCCCAACTCAGGAAGTGTTATTGCAC